CTTGCCCTGCTTGACCTTGTCAGCGGCTGGGAAACCAGCAGGTCCCGTGCAGGAGTCGTACTCTTTGATCAAAGCTTCACACAGAAGGTTGTAATCCCTTCTCGTTGCACCTGGTAGACGCACGATGAAGGCGAACACCTCTCTGTCCGAAGTGTGTATTATCAGATTGATCTTATCTTCAACCGTAGCATTAGGATAATCCTTCAATCTGAATTCGAGATCTTTCAGGTACGCTTTTGTTCCAGATGAGCCCATCTGTCCAGGAACAAAGCGTTGTACATATTTTGAGAGTTTTAGCAGAACATCCAATGAAAGACGAAGTTTCCATGCACTCTGTTGCATGTTTTGTGGAGGAGACCTGTTCAGGTCTGTTCCTACCGCCCAAGATGGGGGTGAATAAAAAGCAGGATGTGCAACAACGTCTTTCTGAGGTGTTTGTGGGTGACCTGAACTCTGTCCACGGTCTTCTCTGAGTTCCGGACAAACTCGCCCCACGTCAGAAATCTTGTTTGTTGCTGCGCTTAGCTTCTCCTCACAAGCCTTAAGGCGCTCCTGTGTTGTCTGACATTCACTTTTTAGATTCAGCCATTGTCGGAGTGTCATCGCCTTTCCTGCCTTGCAAGCGTACAGCTCCTTTAATGCGATCTTCAACTGTTGTTGTATTACACCGTTGTCTGAACACACGGATTGGTACACACGGTCTTTATCCCTGGCTTCAGATAGTGATGCCTCAAGTAATTGTATTTTGCTGTTCAGCGAATCAATTTCTGCATTTGCATTTTGCTGTAATTGAAACATCTGTTCATAATGTTTCGTCATGAGGACCTCGTGTTCACTTTTAAATTGAAGGAAGCGTTCTTCAATTTTCTGAACCACCTCTTTTTCACTGTCTAACCTTAGTGTAAGGTTATCAGCTTTCTCAACAACCGTATAGAATGATTCCTTCAGCAAAATTGCAATTTTAGCCAGCTTTTCATAGTTTGACTTTGTAATTTCTGTAGAGGTCACACTTTCTGCAACCTCCTTCAGCTTGTCCAATAACTCTTTTGGGTTCATGCTCTCTGCCTGTTTAATCTGTGAATGTACGGGTGCTGTCAGAAGCGCTAACGCATTCTCCAAGCAGTCCGTCATCCCATAAGGGTCAAAGTCTTTCTCTAACACACCTGTCATGTTCGTTCACTGTGTAGCACTTTATCTGTTTAAAACAGTTGCACGCTTCAGATATTTTACAGGTAAATATTTGTATTCAGATGTCTTTGAGTTTTCACACTATTTTAAGCCTTGGGTTTACACTAAAGTACTGTTATAAGTCACCTTATTCAAATGTGGGTACCTTTCTCAGGTTTTACCCCAATTCATGAATATTTAAGTAAATGCTCTCGGCAGTGTTACTTGTATGTGCTTATTTTTCAACAGGTACTAGTTACCAAGCTCTTTTTAGTGTATTTTACTCTAAAGCACTGAATTTTATATAAACCTGCAATTTTTCTAAAAGTCTCACAGCAATCATCGGTTTAAAACGTTTTTTTTTAAACAGTTCTGTTCCAGAAATTTGCTATTTTAACAGTTACTCATAGAACCAAGTGGTGAAAAAAAAAAGAACAGTTGATGATGTGTCAGGATTAATCAGTCTCTCTTCAGAAAAACTGTTATTACTCCTGTCCTCCTGTCAGTAACTTCTATTTAAAATTAAATAGGAAGATTTATTTTTTAGGTGGCAACTTAAACAGAAAAGTTTCTTTTTCCTGATAAGTTTACTCTTATTTAGTGATCTAGCAATTAAACGTGTATTATCTCTCCAGCAAATGAGTAAACTGTTCCACTCTGTGAATATTTGAACCGTATCTTTTAAAAAGTTTCCAATTTTTCATTTTGTACCTTTTTCTTAAGGAATTACCAGTGAATAAAAATGTGTTGGTAAATGCTTCTCTGCATAAATACCCTTCACTTTTTAAATGCAAGATAACAGTGATTATTCAGCTAGAGGAAGTTTGTTAACTCAAAAAATGCCTTACAGAAAAATAAAAACGTTTAATTTCACTCTTTAAACCTAAAACTGAAGTGAAACTGTGATCTAAAGTTTCTCCAGGAGGGGGAAGTGTTTAGCTTTCTACCAGCAGGAGTCTCTGACGACTTCCTGTGACGTTCGGTTGACATCCTGTTGTTAGCCGCTTAGCTTAAAGTTAGCTTCGGCTAAACTCGGTTAAAATCAACGTTTCTGAACGAATTTAAGCGTAAACATGGCATTGTTTCAACAAGCACGACTTCTTAGCATGAAACATGAGTTTTTGGACATATGGCAGCTTTATTTAGTGATTTTAAGCACGGCAAAGTTCATTTCCGACATGGAGGAAGTGACGTGACACGTCACTCATCCGGTCGTTAGCTGTTAGCTTAAAATTAGCATCGCTAGCGTTGTTCAAAAACATCATTTAATGACGGATTTTAAACCCTAACGTGGCAAAATTTCAGCGAGTATGCTTCGAAGAACTTAACCAGCGTGTCAAAATACACTTTAAAGCGCTTTTCAGCTTTAAAAAGCAGATTTTATTTCCCTATGAAAACGAATTTTCATTTCCGGGTCACGTGACTGAAATCACCAATTACAGAGCAACACGGGGGTGAGAGGAAATGACGTAGCCACGTCATTCAACTTCTCAGCGAATCAGAGCGCTCCACAACAGAAAATCAACCAACCACGAAGCGTTAGTAGCAACCAGCATGTTAGATTAGCCTGAAACCAGTTCGTCAACTTATCGTCTTTTAAACTGTCAAAATGCACTTTTTCTGTTAAAAACTGTAACGAATCAATTCTGTGTTGCACGGAGTCTGCTACTCCGGTCTCAAAAACGTCTTTCTAGCCATTTAAACAACTCGTCCGAACCTTTTCAGAACCGAGCCGGGCCAGAACCGCATCTGGACCGTCTTTAAACAGAATAGAGCGTTTCCACAACCCAGCTTTTAGTTACCATAACAGGCGTACAATTTCAGCTTTCACACGACATATGACACTATTTCAGCTTTCATAACATCGCCAGCGTAATACAGCGTAAACATGCAGAGCCAAGCTCCAAGCGTGCAGCTCCAGCACGCTGCGTAAACATGCAATGTTTTGACTGCTACTCTCCTCATGCCAACACGTAAAATCAATCTTTACACGAACACACAGTCCATTTTATGAGCACGTGACGGGCCACCAAAATGTAGATGAACAGATGCTCAGATATATTCATCAATTAACACGGATTCCTCATTTTTCTGAACTGAATAAAACGTGCATTGAATTTAATGAAATGCAAGCGTGAGACGTCATTTATCTTTGACCCATCAAAATGAATGCGGTCATTTATTTACAGAATCAAAATTTAACATCAAACATTTACATTAATTTGGCAAATTATGAAAATAACAACATAAGCAATCAATCAGGAAAAATCATACGGCCATGATTTTTCCGTTGCTTCACCACAGACATTTATGAAAACTGTACAATTATGATCTTTTTCCCACACGGAGGTGGATGAGCACTTTACACAGACATTTCTAAATATCTGGAAGAATTTCTACTTGAGAGAGGAGTTTAAAGATGGGAAAGAAATTTAAAGAAGAGTAAAAGATGGGGTTTGAGGGAGTGTTGAACAGAACGGCACTCTCTGGGCTTTCTTCAGCCTCATCCTTACAGTACACTTAGGTGGTGAAATCGACTCTTTTACCTGGAGATGTCTCAGGCGAGATTCCGTTTAACGCACCCTTCAGCGTCTCCGTAGGATGCTGTTACTCGTCCGGAGTAGCGGCGAGATTCTGTCCGCCACAGCTCACCTCAGTGAAGATGTTATAATCCCATGAAACTCGGAAGAGCTCTGTTGTCATGTCAGGATCTTCCCGGCTCACAGAACTGAACAGAGACCCAACTCCCACAGAACTGAACTCTCACAGCCCTCACAGAACTGACAGAACTGTGTATCCAACAGAACTCCAACCGAACTCCAACAGAACCCCAACCGAACTCCAACAGAACTCCATCAGAACTGAATAGACCAGGAAGTACCGACATTTTAAAGAGCTCTTTTCCCGGTTCATTCGGGAGTCTCCCCATTGGCCAGAACCGACCAGACGGGGTGTGTTTTGTGACGTAAAAGGTTAGAAGGCAGCAAGAATTGTTATGGAACAGATCAGAAATGTTCTCACAGACAGAGAGAGTTTTGTTTTGGCGAGTTTAAGAAACAGGTGCCAAAACCCCCCTGTTGACGTCTGAGAGGATATAAACAGGACAGTTGTTCCAACACATGTCTGCTTCAACTCCTGACCCTGGAAACGCACACTTGCTCATTCAAAGGCAGAAATCAGAAAATGCATAAAAATCTGTAACAGACCTCAACATGAATTCTAACTTTGCATGAGAATTAAAAATCATTACACAGTTAATAAAATTGATTAGTTCACTGCAACATCTAAAATGGTTTGAACTAAGACACTTTGATTATCAACATTTGTAAAATAGTAATGATAATAAAA